GTTGGGGGCGGGGGGTGTGGCCTTATGACACACTTCCGGTGATGTCAGGGGGTGTGGCATATGCTAATGAGTTATGCTAATGAGTTCCCCTAGCTCTTTTTCTACGAAACGACCCCTGCTTGACAGTACTTCCCACCATCACCAGATCCTTCGCTGCCAGTGCGAAAGCCTCTGCCTTCGCGGCACAGCGTGTCCACGACAGGGAATTGTGTGGCAGTAGCCACAGATAAGGATTCAGCAAATTTCCAAAAGCCATTCCAGAAAAGGCTGGGAATTACAGAAGCGTGCCTTGCGCTTTCGAAATGACATGCAGGAATGGAGAAGAGAATTAAAAGGACAGGAGAACAAGCTGAGCAGGGATGCTTGTGTGGCTACGGGACCGCTTGGCTCGCACCTGCTGACCATGGGCAATGGGTGAGCCCCTCCGTGCCCATCTTCACTTACACTGCTTGGGTCCACATTTTGAGCGGCCATTTTGGTGATGCCATCGTTGCTGCCATTTGACTTGGCGTGCTCCTGATGGGCAGCAGCCTACAGAGAACCTTACCCAGTAAGGTAAATGGCCAATCCAGCCCGGGGTATGGTTGGCATCCATCTCAAGGTGCAGTGGGATGTTATGGATGAGCTTTCACCTCGGGCTGCTTCCTCTTGGGGACGATTCCCCATTATGGACTCACTGCTGCTGCAGACGGAGAGGCATTCGTAAAGGCAACAGAGCATCCACACCAGGCGTTTCTCTGTTCTTTCCTTGCCTGTCATCCCTCCCCCCCCGCACACCACCCAAGGGATTTTTTAAAAAACCTGATAGTAGGTGTATCACTACAGTACCTTCTCATCCCCACAGTGGGGGGATCCACTTTGACGCTGATATTTCCAGAAGGATGGGCACAAACCATGGAAGGGGAATGGGAAACAATATTGTTTGACTGCTCTGAAAAACCCTGCTTGGGTTGGAGAGCCAGGGTGGAGCAGATCATCTCTTGTGGAAGCAGCCTGGGTCCCCCCCCCACCACCACCAAACTAGTTTTCCTGCAGATGTGAAACCTTCAGTGGCTAGAAAGTACATTTAATTTATTTTCCCCATTCTATTCTCTATTAGCAGTCTTCACACCAGATCTGGGAGAGACGTACACACAAAGGCGCTCTTAAGCCTCAAGTGTGAAAATGGTCTCTAGTAGCTGCATTCAGGGATTTTGAAAGAAATAGGGGACTCTGGTGTCATAAAGGATGTCATGTGCCCTGCCTAGCGTGCTCCATGCACACTTCGGCAGACAAAGTCCCGGCTTCTGCTGTCGCCTGGGTGAAATACTCCCCCAGACACTGTTCCCACTTCTCCCATTGTGCAACTCCCACCTGTGCGGAAATAACACTGAGTCCTTTGCTAGCTCTTAATCAAGATTCCGGGGGGGGGGGCACTTGGCAGTCCCAGAACTGAATGTTTCCTCCTCTTCTCCTCCAGGTCCTCCATTCTGGGGTCTGGTGAATTCCGCATGGAGTCTCTGCGCCATTGGCAAACGCCAGTCGCCCCTGGATGTGAACACAAGCCAAATGGTGTTTGACCCTTTCCTCCTTCCTCTTCGCCTCAGCACAGGTGGGAAGAAGGTGTGTAAGATCTATAGAGTTTGCTTCAGATTAACTGTGATGGTTAAATGGAACCTCCATATTCAGAGGCAGTGTACCTCTGGGATCAGTTACTGCTTGATGCTCAGCTTGGGGGCTCTCATGCTCATTATCTCAGAATCTGGGACAGCAGTCCTTCAAAGTAGGTAAAAGGGGCTTATCCAAGGCCACCTACTGGCTGAGGAAATGATGTGCCTCCCACCCTGACCTGGATGGCCCAGGCTAACCCGATCTTGTCAGATCTTGGGAGCTAACCCAGGTCAACCCTGGTTAGTACTTGGACGGGAGACCACCAAGGAGACCCAGGGTTGCTATGCAGAGGCAGGCCATGGCCAACCACCTCTGTTCGTCTCTTGCCTTGCAAACCCTACAGCAGGGTTGCCACGAGTCAGCTGTGCCTTGTTGGCCTTTTTCACCACCACCACCACCACCACCTTCCATCCCAGTCTCCTTCTGCCGCTTTCCCCACCTCGCTGTCTCCCCCTGCAGGTCAGTGGTACCATGTACAACACGGGACGGCACGTGTCCTTTCGTCCAGATCCACTGCAGCTGGTCAACGTTTCCGGAGGGCCTCTTCTGTACAGCCACCGGCTCCAGGAGATACGCCTGCATTTTGGCGGCGAAGACAGATTTGGCTCCGAGCACTGGATTGACGGCGAGAGCTTTTCTGCCGAGGTGGTCCCAGCCCCTTCTCAGCCCACCCTGTTGACAGTAACAAAAATAGTGTTTTACAGGCCTGACCTGGTTAGCCCAAGCAAGCCCAGTTTCATCAGATCTCGGAAGCTAAGCAGGGCCGACCCTGTCAAGTATTTGGATGGGAGACCTCCAGAGAATACCAGGGCCAGGGGGGCCAGAGGCCAGGCTGTCAAGCCACTTCACCGAACATCCTCCATGCCCCAGTAGGAGTTGCCAGAGGTCACTGGGACTTCTAGGCAGGGGCACACACGCCCAAAAATGCAAAAAAAGTAGTATTTTACAGACTTAAGTTCAGAGAGCCAGTTCATACATGCAGAATCAGTTGTCATTGAAGTTAACAGCAACGAGTAAACTGTTTACAGATCTAAAACATCCCCCTGTAGGCACAGAGAGTCCCTGCACACCTTTCAGGAAGGAGAGTTCCTCTGACTTCAAGATGGTCTGTTTTCCTGTGTTCAGGGAGTCCCGTCCAGGGCACGGCTGTGGCTCAGAGGCAGAGCGTCAGCTTTGCCTGAAGAAGGTTCGATCCTTGGCATCTCCATTTAAAATGATCAGGGAGCAGGTGACGGGAAAGGCTTTGCTCTGAGAACCTGCAGAGCTGCTGCCGGTCAAAGCAGCCCTTGACAGTCCAGAGGTCTGATTGAGAACAAGGCAGCTTTGTGGGTTGCTCTGGGCTGGATAGCCCAGGCAGGCCCGATCTCGCCAGATCCCGGAAGCTAAGCAGGGCCGACCCTGGCAAGTACTTGGAAGGGAGACCTCCGAGGAATACCAGGGCTAGGATGCAGAGGCAGGCAGTAGTAAACCAGAAGTCATTTGTGACTGCCAGGCATACTTGGGCTGCGGTCACACGGAGCATTAGCCACGCTACAGAGATGGAAGATAGGCGGATTTTCCGGGCGCGATCAAACCGCCACATCTGGGAAGCGTAGAGCTCCCATGGCGAACCCGAGGCTTCCCGCCGAAGATGCGCCGTAAAAAACTAGTACCTCCGAGGTACTAGTTTCCGGAAACCGCGGGGCAAGGGCGGGCGTCTGATCACGTTTCCGGTGGTAGCTCGTGGCATCCAGCACCCGCCCATGTCCCGTTGCGAAAAGGGTTTTTTCCCCCAAGTCTCCACGGGATGCGCACAAGCATCCAACGGCGCATGCGCACACTTCGGTTAAAAAAACACACAACCCTCGCTGGGCCACTTCTTTGCCACGCCGCAGGATTGACGTATGATCAGCACCTCCCCCCGAACCACGGGACGTCGGCGGGACGTTTGATCCGGCGTCCACGCGGTAGTTCGCTCCAGGGCAAACAGCCACGCCTCCCCCCCCCCGCGATATCCGGCCCGTGTGACCGGGGCCCCACATACACAATACTCACCAAAAAAGAGGTAGCTTTGTGTGTTCTTGGGGAAGCGTTCAAGCAAGCAACAGCCGAGTTGCGCTTTGCTGCCCTAATGAGATATCGGGTGTCGTGTTTTGCCAGAGTTCCGTAACTATGCTGACAAGAAGGAGAGGGGAGATGGCCTCAGCTGTGGACTCCCTTTCACTGCCCCACTCTGCCATGTCCGCCGCCTGCCAGGAGTTGGGGCAGAGATCGCCCCTTCCCTCTGTTTTAAAGACACCGTAGCAAACGCCCCATGCTCGGTGGGGCTCCGACAGTCTTGCAAGAGCTGAGCCGCTACTGGGTTGCCTGGATCCCATGTCTGTCTGTTCCTGTGATCATCAGTTCCAAGTAGACTTGCCAACCCACACATCAGAGGTTTAACAAGATGCTCGGGCCTCACTGATAGTCGCAGAGCAGTACTGAAATGTTTAGGTGATCGGCGAGAACGCTGCTACTTGATGCTTGTGATGTCCGGGACCTCTGTTAATCTGGAAATCGGATATTTGTGCACTTCCCCCTCAAAATGCAGGTGGAGGAATGCAAAGTGCACCCCCAAATGGTTCAGGTACCTCCTGGTCACTCAGAAAGCTGAGATTTGGCAATTTACAACACCTGGATTACTAGGAAAGGATAACCTTACAAATGGGAGAGGCTGAGGCATTATCCCCCCCAAACACCATACTTATGGTATTCTCAGGTCATCTTAAAGGTAAAGGTTCCCTTGCTCGAAAGCCAGTCGAGTCCGACTCTAGGGTTGCGGTGCTCATCTCCGTTTCAAAGCCGAAGAGCCAGCGCTGTCCGAAGACGTTTCCGTGGTCACGTGGCCGGCATGACTAAACACCGAGGCTCACGGAACGCTGTTACCTTCCCACCGAAGTGGTACCTATTTATCTACTTGCAATTTCTTGCTTTCGAACTGCTAGGTTGGACCCGCCCCGAGGGGGGGGGGGGGGGAGGAACAAAATGTTCCAGTTGTCGTCGTCCCCCTGCGGCTCTACCACATTCGTACACTCCTCAGGCCTTCCAGCAGCCACTTCACTTGTGCCCTCCAGGATGGCGCTCCGAAGCCCCTTCCCTCCCTCACTGGCGCAATGGGAGGAGGGGAGGCAGCAGTTTGGCGCCGGCTGCTTCGAGCTCTTGTAGCCAATGGCCAGCCACGTTCCCCCCGGCCTTCTGTCTTCAAACACACACACACCCCGCTGCCAGTGACGAAGGCGGAGGAAAGTCACATGGTGGCGCATTCCGGTTTGCATCCTTCTTGGAGCGGCACAGGAAAAAGGCGCAGACGGACAGTCGAGTGCACCAGAGCTCGCCTGGCTGGGGCTGAAGGTGAGCCGGATGGTGTGGGGGTTATTGGTGCCTGGTTTCCCACGGCCGTGGGGAGGGGGAGTGGAGCAAGCGCACCTACCCTTTCTCTCTCCTTGTGTGGAGAGGATGAGCCCACATGGACCTCGGGGGGCGTGGAGGAGAGAAAGAAGCCCGGGGTGGGGGGGAGTGAACCGGAGTGGCGCTCCTGAGGATTAGTTCCCGAGGCAGTGTGTTTTGTGGGCAGGTTTTTAGCTGGCCATTCCCCCCCCCCTTTCGGGCGTGAGCGGCCGGTGAGATAATCCCCCTTCTCCTTTGTCTGGAGTGAAAAGGACTCTGGAGCTTTCTGTACCTCCACAACCAGAATGGCTCCCTTGCTTTTCAGAGGCTGCGGTCACACAGAGCATTTGCCGTGCTGATACGGATGGTAGGTGGATTTTCCGGGTGTGATCACACCGCAATATCTGGGAAGTGTAGAGCTCCCGTGGCTAATGCGGAGAAAAAAACTAGTACCTCCGAGGTACTAGTTTCCGGAAGCCGCGGGGCAAGGGCGGGCGTCTGATCACGTTTCCGGTGGTAGCTCGTGGCATCCGGCGCCTGCCCATGTCCCGTTGCGAAAAGGGTTTTTTCCCCCAAGTCTCCACGGGATGCGCACAAGCACCCAACGGCGCATGCGCACACTTCTGTTTAAAAAAAACAACCCCCGCCGGGCCACTTCTTTGCCACGCCGCAGGATTGACGTATGATCGGCACCTCCCCCCGAACCACGGGACGTCGGCGGGACGTTTGATCTGGCGGCCGCGCGGTAGTTCGCTCCGGGGCAAACAGCCACACCTCCCCCCCCCCACGATATCCGGCCCATGTGACCGGGGCCCCACATACACAATACTCACCAAAAAAGAGGTAGCTTTGTGTGTTCTTGGGGAAGCGTTCAAGCATGCAACAGCCGAGTTGTGCTTTGCTGCCCTAATGAGATATCGGGTGACGTGTTTTGCCGGAGTTCCATAACTATGCTGACAAGAAGGAGAGGGGAGATGGCCTCAGCCGTGGACTCCCTCTCACTGCCCCACTCTGCCATCTCCGCCGCCCGCCAGGAGTTGGGGCAGAGATTGCTCCTTCCCTCTTTTTTAAAGACACCGTAGCAAACGCTCCATGCTCAGTGGGGCTCCGACAGTCTTGCAAGAGCTGAGCTGCTACTGGGTTGCCTGGATCCCATGTCTGTCTGTTCCTGTGATCATCAGTTCCAAGTAGACTTGCCAACCCACACATTAGAGGTTTAACAAGATGCTTGGGCCTCACTGATACTCGCAGAGCAGTACTGAAATGTTTAGGTGATCGGCGAGAACGCTACTGCTTGATGCTTGTGATGTCCGGGACCTCTGTTAAGCTGGAAATTGGATATTTGTGCACTTCCCCCTCAAAATGCAGGTGGAGGAATGCAAAGTGCACCCCCAAATGGTTCAGGTACCTCCCGGTCACTCAGAAAGCTGAGATTTGGCAGTTTACAACACCTGGATTACTAGGAAAGGACAACCTTACAAATGGGAGAGGCTGAGGCATTATCCCCCCCAAACACCATACTTATGGTATTCTCAGGTCATCCGTGGACTCCCTCTCACTGCCCCACTCTGCCATCTCCGCCGCCCGCCAGGAGTTGGGGCAGAGATTGCTCCTTCCCTCTTTTTTAAAGACACCGTAGCAAACGCTCCATGCTCAGTGGGGCTCCGACAGTCTTGCAAGAGCTGACCGACCTTCCACAGCCTGCAGTTCAGCGTCTTAACCCCTTGAGCCACCGTAGTTCCCAGGTCATCTTAGAAAGCTGAAATTTGATATACTGGCAGCCAGAGACTTGATTGTTTGTAGAAAAGTTTGGATTTCCCCCCCAACTAAGCTTACTTTCAAAATGCAAGCCAGCATTCTAGGGCAGATCCAAGCTGAACTACTCATAAGACGTAAGTGGGGATGTGGACATTCTCTCTCCCCTTACAGTGGTAGGGATGCCAGCTTCCAGGTGGGACCTGGAGATCCCCTGGAGTTTCAACTCATCTCCAGACGACAGAAAATGGATGCTTTGGAGGGTGGACTCTATGGGCATTGTACCCCACTGAGGTCTCCCCAGGCTCCATCCACAAGTCTCCAGGAGCTTCCCAATCTGGATCTGGCAACCCTGCCCCCACCCCCTGCCACTGGCTAGAGGAGCCCTGGCAACCCTACAGATTGAACTTGGGAGAAAGTAGCTCTTCCAGAACCAGCTGGAATCACAGGTCTCTTGCTGGCAGAATACAAGCTTCATCTCTCATGTGGCCGGCATGACTAAACACCGAGGCGCACGGAACGCTGTTACCTTCCCACCGAAGTGGTACCTATTTATCTACTTGCAATTTCTTGCTTTCGAACTGCTAGGTTGGCAGGAGCTGGAACTAGAGACGGGAGCTCACCCCGTCTTGCGGCACCCGGGTCTTGAACTGCTAAACTACCGACCTTCCACAGCCTGCAGTTCAGCGTCTATGTTATTTCAATCTTTGCTAATGTGAGTCTGTCTTTGGGCATGGGACAGACCCCTGATGGGCTCTAGGTGGGCTGGAAATCAGGGACTGGGATACGAGGCTTTTGCTCCCTTCTCTGCCTGCAGGTCGGACCAAGCCCTAACCCATTCCTGACCAGGCTATTAAACAGAGAGACCATTACCCGGATCTCCTATAAAAGTAAGTGGGGAGAGCTCCGGGGGTGTGCAGACCGTGTGAGAGCCATGTTGGCCAAAATGGGAGGGACTGGAAAGGCTGAAGGCTAAAGGAGAATAGAATTGAGATTTAAGGAGAAATGTTTACCCCTCTCTCGTGGTACTTGAATTTGGAGTTACCCATCGGAAACAGAGTGGCTATAGAGTTCGGAGCAGGCAAAAGAAAATACACAGGGCATAATGGATGTCTAGAAATCACTGCTGTGATGGAATGATGGTCGCTAGAGACGTAGACCCAGGACAATAGCCTTCCTCTCTAGCTAGGGGTTGCCATTCTCCAGGTGGTGGCTGGAGATCTCCCACTATTATAACCA